GAAAATAGCATGAGGATAACTGTAACAAGTCAAAGTTTTCAGATCACCATTATTTTAAATTGTGTCTAAGGGGTTAAGCGTTTTCAACCTAAAGATTAATGCTGCAAAGTGGCTAATAGCTCATATTATGAAAGATATACGAGGATATTAGGCACATAACAGACAAAAGCCTATTTTAAGGGTATGTGTTTTAGTCTATGTTTACTTATATTGTGAGCATGTTTGTAACGAATTGGCTAAAAAGTACTGGACCGATTTTAAAAATTATTTTACCATTTAAATGGTACCTACATTATCATTGATTAATATAGGCTATTTTAATTGTAATAAAAAAATCCCTACTAAAATAACAATAATGTTAGCCAAGGTGTAAAAAAAATGCGTATTAAATATCTTTCATCGCATACATAAAAAAATGTTCCACAATATTAAACAACATATCAATATCTACACAAAATGTGCACCCTTACAAAGCCGGGACGGGCCGCTAGTTCAATATAATTTATGAGATAAGCCGAAAAAGCTATCTAGAAAGCTAGTTTTATATATAAGTCTAGGTTGATAACATTGTACTATAGTCTGCCTATTAAGTACAATAATAAATGATCGTGAATCGTTAATTGATAATAGGTTCTATGGGAATTCGACGAAGTCGTGGTATGAAGCCTCGCTTTCGAATAATAATTTTGTCTGTAGTTTAGTATTGATCTACTTATAAAAATATAAATGTAAGTAACATCTAAGTCCCTATATATTAAGATATTACACCTCTTAAAGGTTGTTTACCTACCCTGTACAGTGACATTTGCAAAGAAACGATATCCCATTTTATTGACATAACTTTATTCATTTAATAAAAACTATTTTGACCGGATTGAAGTTATGTATTATTATAAATTTACAACTATTTAACATAATTTTAAATTTATCCGACGTTTCGCGTGCTTTACAGCGTGCGTGGTCACGGTGACCAAAATTTAAATTTAAAATTGTGTTAGTTGTAAATTTATAATAATACATAACTTCAATCCGGTCAAAATAGTGTTTTATTAGATATCCCATTTTTTTAAAAGTGAGTAATTAATAAAATTTATTATAAAATATCTCATCAACAGAGCCCATTTGGATGTTGTCATCGTACCAATCTCAACTATTTGCAGTCGGTAAAGCGCGGTCATTTATTCTGCTACCATCTTCATTCAAGTAGCCTTCAGTTATATAAGGTTGTGGCGTATCATCCACTTGTCATAGATACACACTCAAAATATACATGTTATGTTCTGTATTATTTTATCTATAAGAATTTATGTATGTGGGAACATTTTTATAGGACGCCAAAAAAATACGTTACTTTTTACTACTGGTACTTACGATGGTTTTCGTTAGCGTCACTCTCTGAGAATATAAATGTCTGTGCATACCTACTTACTCTTGTTGTGTTGTCTTGAATAAACTAATTAACGAAAGTAACAAGGGTTGTGATTTAAAAAGAGCTAGCGCTTCCCATAAGGTCTTATTTATCTTCTATCTAAAATTATTACAAAAATAATTTCATAAATTTATTTTAAATTAAAATATTTTAAAAATGGTATACAATATTAATTAAATATCCTTCAGTTTATCAGTCATTTCCAATTGTGTTACATATTGAATGTACAATTAAACATTAAGGTGTAACTAAAATCATCCTGACCTAGTGAAAGTAATTTATCTGTCAACCTCTCGTGACGAGGAAGTGCCTTTATGATCATTGAAGATCCAAACGTTCCGTCTCCGAGTGGTTCTAGTTAACTTGATTGAAGTCTTTGCTAATTACGTATAAACGTCGTAGCTCAAAGAGTATTACGGTATATTTGTTGATATACCGTAATACCATTTGATTTGCCAGATTTTTTTTAAATACATATTATGGCCATAGTTTTGACTTTATGCCATATGCCAGATTATAGGCTGACAACAGCGCGCATGACATGTTGGCTCTCTTTACCAAAAACATTAAACACTTGAATTTCGTGTCTATGAAGGTATATAGAGCGCATTTGATTATCCTTCTATAAAATAATGTCTAGTTACAATTACGGACGGTATTATAAATTTAGAACCCGGACGTTAGACCTCGTCAGCGTTATCAAATGACCGTATGACAGTTATAGAGAAATAATATATAGACAATACACAAAAGTTGTACTTAAGGCGAGAATATTCTAGCACTGAAAGTATTTGATACTCTTCTATCTTCGAAGTTCCGTGTAAACGTAACATATCTTTCCAGACAATTTAAACTTTTTTGTTCAGTTAATGATCTGTTTAACAAATAAAACGAAATACGATAAAAAAAACCACGTTGCGATATTTTTCAATTACTCCTTGCATAATTATAATACATTTTTACTTTTAAACCAAAAAGTTCTCGATAGTCTTTAATATCAAAAAATTTATGTATGTATGTAAAATTTGTTAAGTCATATTTTCTTGTATAATTTTATGCATACACGTTGTTTTAGAACTTCTAAATAAATAAATAAATCTTAGTCACAACATTCTGCCTTTTAAACGTATCTGTGAATCTAAGCCTCAAGGATATTTTTATACTGTAAAGCTAGATTTCATAACACTATTTACTTGAGAATCCTATGATTTATTACTATCATGTTACAATGTTGAATGACAATTGTATAATAATTATAGAATATCGATCGTACAAGCAATTTTATTGTGTCACTCATCCCGTCATTACGTAAATTTGCAAGATAATCATCAGTTTAAAATACATGTAGAAACCAAAGATATAGTAATCTAGTGGAGCTAGATCCCTTGAGTTCTGGCAAGTAGGTGATTCTTTTGTGCCTGACACACTTTTTTCCTGTCTTGCACAGGATCGGGTTTGATCGTATGACATATAATATACAATTTCCCTGTACCTGTAACCAGTATGTTTAAGGAATAGCACTCTTTATTATATATAAAAGGCGTTCCTTGCCGTGTCAACCGCGTTAATTCGGACGAAATGTAATATAATATAGTCTATGTTACTCGCTGATAATGTAGCTTTATATTGGTGAAATAATTTTTAAAATCGATTCATTACTTTAATAATAATATTAATAAAAATCACTTTATTTGACGAAAAAACAATTACATTTTGTACTTACATTCTAAATGTTATAAACATACAATACAACGAATCGTTGTGTTCTCCACTATTAATTTTAGTTAACCTCGTAAGCATATTCTTGCACTAGGTTTAAACTAGGCCTAGCCTGTATCTTAAACGCTAGTTCCTTCCAGTGTCTTTAACAAATTGGCTAAGCTGTTTGTGATTAGATGTTTATTCGGGATATATTTTTATTGTTTATAAAACTAATGAGGGTAGAATCTAAAAAAAGTTGTTGCAATTGGTTAGACCGTAGTAAATGTGAACTTCGACAAAGATTTTTAAATCTTTGGATGAGAAACTTGATTTTGAGATATGAATTTATTATCGTTATAATTTATATAATTACGGAAACTAATATTAAGTATTAAGATTTTATATTTGAATTACATTTCTGAACTCTTAGGTTAGATATTTTAAATAGGAAAATTTATTATTTTACATCAGCAAACAAGTTTTCTATTTCATATTTTAGAGTTTTTAGCCATGCAACCAGTTTTATTTTCAATTCAAGAAATTAAAGGGGGATAAATTTTAAGAATTTTATTGAGTGTATTGAACAACATGGGGCCTGTATTACATTGAAATTTTTGTAAATAACTTGTTTTAGCTTGAATGGTGGGACAGACTCTATGTGCGATGGAATCACTTTGGAGTATAACACAAACAAAAACATCATATTCTTCCATATTATAGATACTATTAGTGTAGAAAGAACTTACAAATCATAACGTAACGCTTACAAATTTACACGGCTGAACTGATTTTGATGAATTTTATTAGTAGGAATCATGAATTAAAATTATAATAGATATATGTGAACAAAGCATTTGAATAATTTTAATGTTTTTTTAAAACGAATCGATTGCTATAGTTTCTAATTTTATTTTTTAATTTAACGTTGTATTTTTTTTGTCTAATTAATGTCTGGTGCTAGACATGAGACAACCTTTAATTTTTAATTTTTCTTCTCCTATTTTTTTCAAACGACCGGAATTTAATAAAGTGAGTTATTTATTAATTATATGTTTAAAATATACATTCCTATAGCTATTGATTCAATCTTAAAAGAAGTCTTAAATAAAATACAGATTCCTAAGTCTTAAAAAGGGTTTGAGTATTTATAGCCTCAAAACCGAAGATTTATGCTAATATCATTCCAGTCAAAACGACCATTTTAATGTAGTTTATTTTCACCGTCTGCAATTTAAATGAGATTAATTTCGTATATTTTTTTCTATCAAAGTTAGTTAGGGAGACTAAACCATCATTCACTAACGAAAGACGAAACAATCATTACGCTAATCATAACAATAGGCAACATTTAAAAAGCCTACAACAATATAGATCAGCGTTGAAATAAATGTTATGTTAAAATAATAATATTTTAAATATAACAAAACATTATAGTATCAGGTATATTATACGGACAAATAATGGCGTAAAATATTATGTATTCGGCCTGGCAAGATGTATCAAATAGCCCCGTATCCATACATAACATATAATTTGGTATATTATATAAAACCACTTTTAAAGAAAAAACTTTTTAACCGGATTAAAGTTATGTATTATTATAAATTTACAATTATTTAACATAATTTTAAATTTATCCGACGTTTCGCGTGCTTTACAGCGTGCGTGGTCACGGTTAAAAAGTTTTTTCTTTAAATGTGTAAAGGTTATGTTAATCAAAGACAATACTATAAAACCACTTTGTACAGTAATGTCAATATCCAGTGGTTATATAGGTAAAAAAATACCTAAATAATAAACAATAAAAAAATAATAAAAATTACAGCCAATGCACTATTTATTGTATATTCTTTAATATTTTAAATATTACTCAAGATTGTTTAGACAGACGCGCAAAATTCTCATACTTTGCAACTTCTAAACCACCATCTACAGCTACCGGATGAGGTAATGAGTTTCTAGATTTAGTACAAATGCATTTGTACGCATCCACTTGGAATTTAGTTTCTTGATATTCCTTTAATTTCCTCACAATCAAAGCGTTTTCCTCTTCTAATAGCATCTTTTCACGGAGTAATGCTCGTTTAGATAGTTCTGCTTTAGATATTTTCTGCCAGAGACGTGTTAGTCCACATGTTGAAGCTATTGCATTGACCACTAATGAATCCTCAGATTGAAGTCGTCTTGCACTTGTTTTAGTTTCGGTGGGGGATTGAGGTAACGCTGTTCCAAATGGTAGGACTTTTTCGCGCTGAGTTTCAAATTTTCTACACAGTGCTGCTGTCCGTAAAATCTTTTCTGCTTTATTTTGTGATGTATTTAACCATGTAAGAGTATCATCAGATTCTTTTACTAAAACTGCTAAAAGTTTAGCATCCAATGCGCATCCATCGATCAAACCTTTCTTTAAACGGAAGCACGCAGCCCTATGGCGGTCACGGCGATCACGAAACACTGCTTGTTTTGTACCTGATTCATAGGCTGCCAATTCGGATCGCAGTCGTTTTAAAACGCTGTCATTATTTGCTATCTTCTTCGACTGTGAGGCTATAATATCAGCCATTAAGTTTTCTTTTTGACGCAGCTTACGCACTTTTTTCTGGTTATCTGCTGTTTCTGTGACATAAGCTTTAAGAACTGCTTTATAATCCTCCCATGTAGTGTTGTATGTATTTTCAAGAAAGGAACGTAAATTTTCGCGTTCATTAGAATATTTCATTCGGTCTTCATCTTCTTTAACTAAGTTTTCACCCCTAGTTGTCCATGCTTGAGTGTCGGCTGTTGTATGGCCGTGATAAATTAGAAGCTGTAGATGTGTTTCTGCGACGTCATGATCTTTCATGATTTGGCTAGCGTTTTCTTCGCCAAATTTGAGCAGTTTCTTTGTTTTAATGTCATTTCCTTTTGAAAGTATTTCCATTTCTTCGAGAAATTTGTTAATCGTCGTATCGATTGTGTTACAGAAACTAGCTACTGTTCTTTGAAATTGGTCATCTGCTATGTTCATTAGCTTTGTGGTATAGCGAATTAAATGATCTTTCTTGTCATATACCCTCTCAAATACATGCCACATTACTTCTATGTCTTGTCTGAATACGGGTTCTTTTACTTTAATCATCATTTCACGCCAGCTTTTGTCTAACTCCCCTCGTTTACGTGCTTGAGCTGCCATTTCACGTTGTAGTTCTTTACGCTTAATTTGTTTACGAGCCTCAGCTTCAGCTCTTAGCTTTTCGAGTTTTTTGGCTTCTTTCTGAGCCTTTTTCTCTTCCTTTGTCAGTCCCATGGCTTCTTAGAAATTATAAGGATATACAATAAGAGCAATTTGAATCAAATATAACGTTTTATTTATAAAATATTGACTAACAATGACGTTTTTCTCTAATTGTGACAAATATTACGTAGATCCAAAAAGATTGTATACCATTATATTTACTTATTCAGAGTCTTAATTTTATCTATGGTGAATAAACGAATTAATTATAAGAATGCATCTAAAGAACTATGAACTTTGGGTACAACATTTAAGACCCTATTAGCTATCTGAATTAAGGAACTTATTTTTATATTTTAATGAATAATTTAAGTGCAGTCTATTGATATAATCTCCAAAGCCTTTTAAAGTCAATTTATTATTTTAAACGTTCATCTTTTTTACGTATAGATTTAAAAGCTAAAAGATTTATATGAAAACAGGCTCGTTATCAATCTCTCGTCGGTGGAAGTGAACCGCTTCAAAGTTATCTACACAAGCGCTTGGCTGAGAATTTAAACAGCGAGGCATCTCTTGGAACAGTTACTGACGTCGCACAGTGTGTAGAATGGGTGAACTCGACATTTCTAAGCGTCAGAGCGGCTCGTGACCCCAGACGCTATCTGGGACTTCCACAAAACGCTTCCAAACAGCTTATCACGAAGAAAATAGAAGGTATTATCTAATATATAAAATTCTCGTGTCACAATATTCGTTCCCGTAATCCTCCGAAACGGCTAGTTATTTTTAATATATAAAAATAAATATAAATAAATTTTAAAAAAATGTTTCCTAAGCATAATATACATGGCAAGAAAACGTTTTGGGTCGGGTCAACACCGGTCACCTAGTTTTTGTCTAAAAGTGATGCATTCTTTTTATTAAAGCCCATCCACACGCTTGACAAACAATGGCAAACAGCTAACAGCAAACACAAACACGGACGTGTGGATGGGTGTTTGTCGTTGTTTGCCTGTTTGTGTTCGTTTGGGCAGTGTTCGCATCGGTGTCGGTTTATCTTCCCAGATCAAAGGATGTTTGGCAAACAGTTTGCTACGTATCCAACGTTTGGCAGCGATCAGTATGCGCGCGAGCTTCGGGAGGCGGACGTATTTACTTCTACACTTTCTTCCCAAAGCGTAAAAAATGTCTGATTGACACCTACATTCTGACATTTTTAAGTAACTTTTAAGTAAAATAAAAAAAACACGGCAAAGTAAAGCTCAAATTAGGTCTAAAGCCTTCACGCTTTCTATGTATTTTAATCATCCACCATCGTCTTTGCTTTCTTCTTTTTTTCCTTTTTTCTTTCTCTTGCTTTAATTTATAATAAAAATATGTCAACCCGAAAGTAATAGCTGCAACAAGCTCGTCGTCCGCCATGTTTGCCGATTCGGAATGTTATGAACGTTCGCCAAGCATGTGGATGGCTGTTTGTGTTGGGTGATTGTGGTTGGTGTTTGGGACTTCGTTTGCTTTTTGCGGTGTTTGTGACAAACAGCCAGCGTGTGGATGCCCCATAAGGGTTTGTTTTTGATCGGATAGTTGGTGCTATTAAAAGGTCTCAAATGGGAGACTTAGGGAGCAATTTTATTGCACCCAGATAAAAATGTTGGGCCGGAATTCAAACACACGTCCTAGCTTATCTATAAAATAAATAATGTTGAGTAAATATGATGAACGCCCTCAAAACTGCGGTTAAATTAATGTGTAAATCTATCATTCTGAGACTGAATCCGATTACAGTGACCCTGAAAACAAAACAATTTTAATGAGGTAATTAGGTGACCATTTGACATTGGCGTACATTTTTTACTAATCCAATATTTTTTTAATAATAATCGTAAACTTAAATTATTTAAATAAACTTAATTGTTTAATTAATAGGAAAATCCAAAGTAGTTTAAATGTTTTAAGTTCATTCTTGGCACTGTTAAATTGAAACATACACAAGTTTATAGATATTAGAAAAAAATCAAAGGCTCTACATTCTACAACCTTTTTAAGCCTGGGTCTCAGATTTCTTTATCTGTTTCATGATCATTCGTCAATCTTATAGCTAAGTAGGTTATCAGCCTTCTGTGTCTGACACACGCTGTCTACTTTTTTGGACTAAGGCAAGCCGGTTTCCTCACGATGCTTTCCTTCACTGTTCGAGCGAATGTAAAATTTGCACAGCCAGGGATGGAATCTACGACCTCAGTGATGAGAGTCGCACGCTAATGCCATAAGGCCAACATTGCTTGTAATATTTAACGGTTTTAATCGTGTGCAATTACACCGCTTTTGGCACATGTTAATATATAATACATCTGGTACTTAGGCGATCTATGATAAATTATTGATATATTTTTTTAAAGCGTGTAACAAAATCAAAAGATCGCTGATAAAGTTCGTATGAAATTGTTTATCTGGGTTTTATTAATAATTTTTCTTCATAGGCAATTACGTATAGCCTTACAATACGTAGAAATTATTGTTTCGTTCCGCGTTTCTTGTGTTTAAGTATACTGAGCGGTAGCGATGCTCATAGTAAATTTTTATTTTTGAGTCTTGTAAACTATTCAAACATACCAGATACGTAGCGACACAATTTACAGAATTTTTCAGGCATTCCTTTGGCCTTTCAACCAAAACAATTATCAGTAATCGAATCTATTACTTCCGAGTTATAAGTACCACCTTGTGACCTCTAACATTAGTAATGATATTTAAGTTAAAATTATTATAGTAAAAACAATCTTATAATATTAACATTAACGCATTTCCTCTATCTTCGACCGTGGTGAGTGATAAAAAATATAATAAGGAACTTAGGATGTCACTAAATTAAATATCACATAATTTATTAAAGGCTGCCTTATAATAAAATCCAATACTCGCAGTAGGGATTCTTATATTATATTACCTAAGTTATTACGGTGATAATAAAAATGTAAAATTATCGCTGTCTTTGGAGAACATGTTGACAAAACGATATTGTAAATTAAAAAATATACGTCGAATTATCTCTCGAGTTAAAATTGGTTTAAAATTACAAAAAGTATAACGATTATTTTTATGATTAGGAATTATTTGTCAAATTCATAAAATATCTAATCATTCGAACCACATAAAGCTATTTAATCAATTACCAATAATTTGTTTTAAAACGATCGTATTTAAGGCAGTTTTTGCCACGCACCACCACTATGTGGACTAGTGAAGTATTTCCGAACCAATTCCACTTAGGTTCCTTTAAGAGAAGAGCGTACCAATTCTTAAATGGCCGGCAACGCACTTGCGAGCCTTTTGGCAATGTGCGTGTATATGTCTGTCTACTTAACAACAGATCAGCCTCCTGCCCATTAGCCCCGTTATAAAAAAAACCACTAAAGGTTGGATTTATCATGTCACTTCAACCATTGCTGTAAGAGTATTATTACTATAAAATATTTTATATAGTATATTACTGAACCTGAGATCTACTTAAAATTATGTTAAAAATAATCTTTGAGTTTTGCAACGGAAACGTATATAATTACTCTCACTTAAACAAAAAATTCTAGAATAATACCATAAAAACCAATGATTCCTCGTGATTCAAGATGGAATTATTATTGGAATGAAGATGCGTTATGGCCTCGACTATAGTTCCGCAAGCCTTCCTAAGTACATTACTTAGGTATCTGCTATGTATAGGTTTATACAATGTCCTTAAGCGATCATGGACGAACTTGGCATTTATAAAAAAATTTAATATTTATGTATTTATTCACACTTCGTTATATTTATATGATAGGTAAAGTGCAAGAAGTGCATAATCAATATTTCTTACACTAAACCAATATAAATACAAATAAATCACACAACTGGAATTGTTGGGCTCAAATCAGTGAAAATTAGCGAAATCAAATTTTTATAACCACAATTAAATAAACCGCCCAATTCGTATTTCTAATAGTCTGTGTCGAATGATATATTGTACCAATTTTAAGATCGATCTCCAAAACTAATAACGATGTATCTCCTTGTAAAACGTGTGAGAGCCGATTCCATAGCTAGATCGTAAAAGGAAAAATAGCAAGAGCACTGTGGAAGATTTTTAATAATAATAATAATAAGTCTGGGCCTCAGATTTCTGTATCTTTTTCATGATCATAATCTAAAGGCAAGTAAATCCTCCTGCCTGACACATGCCTTCGACTTTTTGGGCGAGCCGGTTTTCTCACGATGTTTTCCTTCACCGTTCAAGGGCATGTTAATTGCGCGCATAGAAAGATAGTCCACATGGTGCACAGCTGGGGTTTGAACCTACGACCTTATGGATGACAGCCGAACGCTGAAGTCACTAGGCCAACACTACTCTTAGATTTTTAACTATATATAAAACGTTAAAAAGTCTAAAAAACTTGCACAGCCAAGGAACTAGCTAAATCTTTCTTATTCTGTTAAGACGTAAAAAAACAGAATGCTTACGATTCTACCTAAAAATAAATTCGCAACGTTAAAAATGTGCCCTTGTCACAGAACCCTTTTTGTCCTCCTAATGTTTCACCGACATTAATATTGTAAAATGTTTTAGGAACCAGTTTCCAAAAAGGCAATGTAATTTATTTAGCTTAGCACGAAGCAGCAATCTAAGAATTACATTTTCCTTAACTTCAAACAATTAAAATTAACGGAAAAAATCTCGCATAACGTGTACGGAAGATTTAGCGTTTACCATAAAATGCCAGCGTGCGTTATGTTAGAATCGTAAATATCAATATATGGCATTGATGCGTCATTTGCAGTTGATACTCATCTTCAGTGTTAATAAATGAAATCTAATCCTCTTATTCACGGGACAAAATTAAATATATTATTAAGGCTTAGTAACAATCAAACAGGGTAAGATTCAGAGTCAAGACTTGCTAAATGTGAATCGCTTAGTCAAATCTAACACGTTTTTGACATTCGGGAGTCATACGAATGTTTTAGATTGAATTGCACAGAAATCTAAACACCTTCGTGTCTGTAAATAATAATAATTAAAGAACGGAGCAGAGTTGGCCTAGTGGCTTCAGCGTGCGACTCTCATACCGGAGGTCGTAGGTTCGATCCCCGGCTGTGCACCAATGGACGTTTTTCTATGTGCGTATTTAACATTCGCTCGAACGTTGAAGGAAAACATCGTGAGGAAACCGACATGTTTTAGACCCAAAAAGTCGAAGGCGTGTGTCAGGCACTGGAGGCTGATCACCTACTTGCCTATTAGATTTAAAAAATGATCATGAAACAGATTTAGAAATCTGAGGCCAAGACCTAAAAAAGGTTGTAGGGCCACTGATTTATTTTTGTTTTCAATGAAAGATCCCCGCTTACAACTTTATACTGCCCTCGGCTTAATTAGTTATCCTATAAGCCTTATTGGAGCAGTGACTACTGTCTTGATCGTGCGACTCAGCGGTCGCGTGTTCAAATCATACCTGTGGGCCATTGAATTTTTCTAAGAGCGCATTTAACACTCACTCGTACGGTGAAGGAAAACATCGAGAGGAAACTGAGTCATATAAGAATAAGTCATATAAGAATAAGTCATATAAGAATAAGTCATATAAGAATAAGTCATATAAGAATCATACCTTAGACTTACCTTAGACCCAAAAATCGACGGCGTGTCAGGCTGATCTACCTGGATATTACGAAAACTAATCGTGACAAACAGGAACAAAAATCTGAAGCCCAAAATAGGTGTTTTTTAACTGACTTAAAAAAGAAGGAGGCTGACGACGTTTTTTTAAGCTTCACATAAAGTCCTCAATTTCAGAACTGTGTGTCAAAGCCATGAACGGCTTAGTCACATCCGGTCTTATAACTATGGACGAGGCGAGTTGCATACACTCCACCGATGCGGGGCGGCTTATGTCTGTCTACTATATTGATGTAGAGACTATGAAGGCGATTATGAAGGTATTTTATAAAATTAGGATTTTTTAAAGAAAAGCAATTTGCAAAGTGTCGCCGCACTGGGAAGAAATTATTTGCACATTATTCGTAGGATTAGTAAAGAATAAAAATAATCCTATAATTATTTCCCTGTATTTAATAACACGAAACGTTTAGTACCTTAATAAAATCAAATTCGTCCTTATTTTTTAAGTTACTTTTATTATTTTTATGACTTTATTGAATACAGTGTTACATCACCACATTGTAAGGTAAGTCAGTGTTATTTGACAAAACAAACTTTGTTTTAAAATACATATCGCTATGTTTGTCAATGTATTATGTTATTAACAACATTTCGCAATTAAGATATTTAAGAATCAGGATACAATATATAATGGAATACATCCCATCATCCCGTTTGTCCCTCCTTTCAGAAGAACGCCTTTTGGCCAAAACTCACCGATATCCAGATTGAGCATTCTGATAAACAAGCTATGTCTGGATATCTATAGTTGCTCACACATTGAAATCGATTCCTTTAGTTCCTAAAAACTAATTCCTTTAGTTTTTATAATTTAATTTTTTTTGTTTATTTTTTTTAATTTCTTCGTGTATGTTATGTTTGCCTATAAGGGCTTCTCACATGATATATTATATTTAATTTTCATGTACCAATATGTGTGTCGATCGTTGGCAAGCTTTTATAAATAAATAAAATGCCAAAATGCGTTTGGTATTTTTGCATTCTAGATAGAAGGAACCGAATCGTTAGAAAAATTATTATGGCTTGTATGCGAGAGCCATGAGTTGGCAGATATGCATTTACGAGTCGACGAGCGAAGATCTCTGAATGCACTCAATAGAAACAACGCGGCTGCAACAATTCGCTTCCCAATGAAAGGCAAGATTAATACTAGACAGATGAAATTGAATTGGTAAGTTCTTCACTTAAAATCATTCTAAGATTATTATTCTATCTACGAACAACCTCTCTATTAAAAGGATATTTATGCTTTTGTATATAATCTTAAAAATGAATTCAAATCCTTATAACTATATATTACCCTCCTCTAATAGATGCTTTTTGGAAATTCCATCTCAACAGCTCATCCTTCGGCAATTCATTTAGGATCTCCGCCATTAAGTTGTAATAGGCTGCTCGATTCCATACGATTGGCTACCTCCCTAACATCTTTTGCAACTTTTCTACATAAACATTTCTTAACCATATCCTATCCTGATCATCGTGACTAGTAATTCTTGTATTTCTTATTCTTTTGTATTAATCGCAATTCATGAATCCGTGAGATAAGCTTTTTAGGTTTTAGTTTATTTTATCAATATTATTTTAGATTAAGGTTGGTTTTTATAAGATTTGGGTATGCGCTTCTTGCCATTTACCTATAATATTTCATTTTTTTAGTTTCTTACTAGGGTTGCCTGGAAGAGATGGCTTATAATTTTTATGTATGATATTATTTGCTTTTCTATAAATGTAACGTATGTATATTACGTTTAACATATTAATTTGTGTTTAATAAGATTATTTTGTACTGTGCATGAATTTATTTATATTTAGAGGAATGTGATATGAGATTTTTTATATCTACCGGGGTACGATTCTTATCAGAAATTGTTTCGGTTTGTTTAGTAAAGCAAATCTCTTAATAAGCTATTTCGTGACTGCTGTTTGTTGACTAATTAATTAATAATATTCTAAAATCATAATATTGTGTGCTGTGTAAAATAAACGAAGCATGGTCGTAAAGTTAAAGCTCTCGTATTATTTACCGTTTATTTAGAAGAATATATCTAGAATCTTCATAAACAAGTTTACAAACCGTTATAAGCAGACAAGTTCTAGACAAAAAAATCATTTATTTATATCTAACTGGTTCGTGAAGAATTTATTATATTTTTTGTTTATTAAAATCAGTAGGATCGAAACGAGCTCACCTTCGCGTATAAGAAACAATATTTATTTCTTTATTTTATTAATTAATAGTTTGTTGCATTACATATTTGGTACATATACATTCAGAAACATAAATAAACGGCAATGGGTGGCCTTGGCACTAACAAGCGATCTCTTCCAGACAACTAGTAACTAATAAGAACGTAGAAATACTAAGTGTAAAAATTGCATAACTAAATTTAAAAAAATACAGATAACAATTATACTATTAAAAACCAAAATAAAAAATTAATGCTAACCTTCATGAGTCAACAGGCTAGGCAAGGCAAGGAATAAAACGTCATCGACCAAGTCACTTGCCTAGCTGTTTCATCAACTGGCTGAACATCTTTAAGCCCGCTAGTTAAACGGCTAGGCTGTTAATTGGGCTAATTAAGCTAGTTGGCTGCTGCGCTGTATTTGTGGGTCTAACCCATTTAAGTTTACCATATAGGTATCCTGCTTCATGATTTTTAAAACCAAAAAAAATACAGTTTCTGATGGTAAGGAAAATAATTTATCTTCAAAAGCTTTTTGGTATTGATAAATGATACTACATTGGTAAATGACAAGAGTTCCTACTTTAAAATTGGTTCTATAATTGTTTTAGTATTATACAAGCTGTCCTCGGCTGCCTTCCGATACCGGACCCTTCATTAAACCAAGAAGCTTTTAAAATTATGAGGATCGCTGATCGAGTTTGTAAATGTATGGATTTTACTTTTATATGTATTAAAATAATAAGTTTATGTAACTTATTTACACATTTCAAACAATAAACTGTAGATACAAATGGTGCAACGGGCTAAAGTAATTAGCCCTATTTTAATGGACTTAAAAAAAAGCAGGCGTTTTTTGAATGTTCAAGTTTCCATACATGCACCGACCATTCAAAATTACCCCTTATATATAAATTAATTAATTCATTTAATTCTTTTAGTTATTTAATACTTTTTAGAATATTTTGGTCTGTTAAAACTTTTCTAAAGGAATTTATTTAATATTAATTAGTTTTATTTAAGTTATTACTAATTGAAAAGTTTTAGTGACTAATTTTCGTTAAAGTAATCAACGCCGATCCAGATTCTCGCCAAGACTATTGTTGCTTTACTATTGTGTCGTTTTAACTTTTTGTTTATGAAATTCAGAGTTCTTTATTATCGAAGTCATAGTCTTTTTACTTGTATCTAGTGGTATCTAACTCTAGGATCTGTGTATTAATAATTAAATATTTCAAGGTCTCATAGCATACGTAACAAGCGGAAAAGTAATAGCAGATAATCGGAAATGTTTTTCGTCGGTTTTAAACGCCGTGATATTGGCGAAATGCCTATCAGCTCATATATGGGAGAACTCGCCATATCTAAGCAAACAACTCAAAGGGATTGGACCTATGTTTAGTTCGTTACTCGCGTCTGCGGGGAAAGTGAGTATCTGATATTCAAAGTATTTGTACCCCACAGTTTTACTATTCATTAAGAATTTGCCTTATTCGGTAAATGAACTATTTCAATACAATTTATTTTTCAATTTAAAACCAAGCCGAACAAAGTATATATTGAACATGTCCATTAAATCTAGGTTAAGTTACTTAAGAATAATACTATTAAAGGGCGGCAACGCACTCGCGATCCGTCTGGCATTGATACTGTCAATGGGCGGCGGTATCAGATAGCATCAGATGAGACTTCTTCCTGTTTCGACCCTGTTCTAAAAAATGTAATATAATTATTAATATGAAGTGACATCTTAATTTTCGGTCAAAATTACTACGATGACGTCAGACCCTAAAACGCGCTAAGAAAATTATTCCCATTAAAGATATATATACAACTTCTCGACCTTCGCACCAATCAGATGTTATAATGGTTCAGGCTGCCTTTCGGTCAAAGGAAGAGCAGCACTTTTCTTCCTTCACTAATAATTAAACAGTAGTCATAAAAAAACAATAAATCAGTTTCGTGATCATTTGTCAATCTAATAGGTAAGTAGGTTGTAGTAATTTGCCGCGCACCACCACTATGTGGAACCAGCTGCCCACTGAAGTATTTCCGAACCAATTCGACTTAGGGTCCTTCAAGAAAAGACGTACGAATTCTTAAAAGGCCGGCAACCCACTCGCGAGCCATCTGGCATTGAGAGTGTCCATGGGCGGCAGTATCACTTAACATCAGGTGAGCCTCGTGCCCGTTTGCGCCCCGTTCTATAAAAAAAAAGTAGGTGATCAGCTTAGCTATAAGGCGAGCCGGAGTTCAAGATCCTTCACCGTTCGATCGAATATCAAAAGCGCATTGGTGCACAGCCGGGGATGGACCCTACGACGTCAGGGATTGCGACGAACACGCTCATAGTCGAACAGCAACATAGCAAATTTTGGAAAATAAACTTATTTTCAATTCTTGCAAACGTATCCCAAATTTTAATTTAGTTTATATTATTAACTAATTAACCTTTTTTTATTTGAATTATTATATAAGCGTATTTATAATTTTTAGACCACGTTTAGGCTGCTCGAAGAGAGTCATCCCAGAGATTTGGAACGGGTAAGTTAAAATACCTTACTTAAAACGTGACCAGTGTTTGTTACCATGGTTACATGTTTAAACCTAGTCACAAGGCACTATTTTTAGTCCGATCTTTATGATAAGGTCGACTCACGATATAACCCATTTTATCGCCATAAGAATAATAGATTTTATAAAATTAATGTTGTATTTTTAAATTTCATTAATAGCTAATTTCTAATAAGTATATATAAAATACTTACCTCGATAAGATAAAGTCCAAGGGAAACGCAAAACATTTTATGTTAAAAAGTATTCGTCATTAAGGTTCTACTTCACTAATAGGAAAATAATTTATGTATGTAATGTTTGCATGTACCTTTCCTCCCATTGTTCGTTGAATTCATCAATAAGATGGAAAATTAAATATGTAATCATATTTATTACATTACTTACATTACATAAAAATAAAACAACAACTAAAGGTTTAGTGTACTAAAAAATCTGTGATTTCCTTTTGTTTTAAAAAATTCACTGTTTCTAAATCGATTCGATTTTCAATGACAAATAGAGGGAGAATACTTAACAATTAACTTAGATGCAAGTAAGTCGTTGTCACAAAGCTAACCGACAAAGCTTTGAAACTTCTGATAAGGCAAACAATAGGTAATGTATTGTTATACTTTAACAATACATTAGTAAACAGAGCAAGCAATAAATACCGAAACCATTTGTTTGGACACTCTTTAAAATGATTCTCATTCAAAACAATTTTAGTGTTATAAAGGTTAATGGAAATTTATTTTATTTCTTCTAGTTACTGAGGGCTAAACAGTGCATTAATTTAATTTACGTTATAGAGGTTGCAAGTATTTTATAGTTATAGAGGTTCTGGGCTCTGATGGAAGCGGAACATAGTATTTTTGAAGTAACAGAGGTTTTTATTGCTTAAACCTAGGTTTACGTTAAATCGAGGTTCTACTGTATTTTTTCCTTATTAATCTGTTAATCAAATTCCTCCATTTAACTCAAACAATATCAAAAATATTCGCATTAATTCTTCTTCACTAATAGAAAATAATTTTTGTTTGTAAACATTGCAAACTTTAATCGCATGTTCGTTAAAATATCATCAATCATCATTCAACGACACTATTTATCGTTTGAATTTTCTTTTTGTATTGACTTACGGATATATTTAGCGCTGGTACTTTATAATTCCCACTAGCTTTGTACTGCATATGACGACGTCAGCGGCACGGGATATCGAAGAAACTAGCGAATATCCTAATGGAAAGTGCGTGCGTATCCAAAGTACACATGTCAAAAGTGAAGCTTCTTTGGCACTAGTTTTTAAGTCTTGATTCATACGCTTCTCAAAACAATTCGCCGGAACAAGATTTTTCCCCATTCTGTTGCATTGAATTAAAGTTAGGGTTAAATGAACTTGCCGCTATTTTTTACCTTGTTAATTTGTTAATTACTACAATTAATAAAAAAAATCGACTTGATGGTTGTATTAAAAAAATTAAAATGCGGCCTGGCATTGTAGTCGAAAAAAATGAAAAAAAGGTCCTCAAAGCAATATTCTATAGCGTTTGAACATTCGATCTTTAGTGACTTTTCGGTAACGTAAGTGTGAGCCCCCAGAGCCTAAGCACGGCTTGAACAACGACGCGGCATCTTCGTATGATCCTCCAAATCTGTGGAACCCCGCTCCTTTCCAATCAACGCTTCACTGAGCCGCATGCAAGTGTTTGAGGTCATCGGACGTTCCCGGACTGCGCCTGCACAGCACGTCCAAATGTGCTTCAATTGTAAACGCGGAGAGGGCTCATGGAACGCCCTATTAGACGGATTTCCTGCTGTCGTAAGTAATATGTGAGGCTGCAGTGGCCTGGCATTATCTGCATTAAAAATCTGCGTGAGTCGGCGAGCTTGTCTATGTTGAATTGTTAGACGCACAGCCCGAACTGGTCGGCGTGATCTCAAATTGGCTTCCAACAACCTATTTCTTACCGTCTGGTCGGAAATTTCTACACCAGTAGCCGTCCTTAGTGTATTTTGTAGATCTCTTGCAGTTGTGGTGCGGTTACGTAAAGCACAGTTGACGATGTAGCGATCTTGCAAACGTGTAGTTTTTCTCTTTCGACCTTGACCACGCCTTCGTGAGTATTCTCCCGTCTCACGGTATCGCTTCCAAAGTCTGTAGATAACAGAAGGGGCTACTCCTAGATCATTTCCTACATAACGCATTGTTCGACCCTCTTCAAGCAAAGCGATAGCTCGGGAGACATGCAATTCAGTCAGATCTGGCATTATGACCTAAACTCACTCGCTTCAATGAATAACAATACTCAAAGGGCTCCCTTTCCAATTTCTATTAATACTCAAAAGATTGAAAAAAACTAATTAAAATGTGTTTTCTGTGATTAGAAAGTAATGAAAATTCAAAGACGTCACTTTGTTTTTCGTCTACAATGCACATTTTAATTTTTTTTTAATAAAAAAAATACAAATTGAATTTTTTTATTAATTGTAGTAATTAACAAATTAACAAGGGAAAAAAATAGCGTACAAGTTAATTTAAATCTAATTTTAGTTTAAGCAATAGAAAGGAGAAAAATCTTGTTCCGCTAATTGTTTTGAGCAGTATATAAAATACTAATACTATTTCATAAATTCTCTTTAAGAAATTTTAATTTTAAAAATAGAATTTCTATAAGGTAATTCGCCCTTCTCACTCTCTCTCTTAATCGTTCTCAATCGCTCTCTCCCTTCTCTTCGACAAAAACGCTGCACATCTTCGTGACGCTAATATTATTATTGCCTTTCATCCGTAAAAAAATTACCCTCATGCGCCTAAAGAAGTTTCACTTCAAACCACTTCAAACCTCTGCCAGGCTAAGATAGAGATATTAGCCTGTAGCTACAAGAGATACCTCTATATACGCCAATTATCGTCTCAGTAAGAGACAACTTCACCTTTCAGATAATGAATAAAAGCGCCCCCGCAGGCAACGATATAAGAAAACAGATATCATTGCTTCCAAAATATCAACTAACAATCGTCCCTATAGATCAGAAATCAGTCCGAATTGAACTTGCCATGCTTAATCAAGTGTATTTAATGGAAAACATGGAACGTTTAACTGCTGGACCGAATCACAAATTTTATTTAATAGTTGGCGATTCGGAAAATAATCTACTATATTATTCTGTTTTTAAGTAAGTTGCATTCTATTTTTTCAGAATCTTTAAACAATAGAGGGTAAGTAACAATAGTGCAAAGTTTTACTGGAACAAAAGATTACGTGTGTGCTTAAATTCTATTGAGTTCGAAAATCTTCAATTTGAACCAATAGTCCACATATTAACGCGTAATTTTTTGATCTACTGTAGGTACTTAGCGATCTGTTTTAGGTCATGATAAGCTGCGGTCGATCTATAGACTATAGACAAAGCAGATATCGTTGACCTGCGTCAGAGAAATAATACTTCGATGTTCTAATATACATTTTTGTAGTAAAAACATTAAAATGTGTATAACAAATATTACAATTTAAGTTGATTTACTAAAAAGAAATTATTAGATCAGAATGTTTAGTTTGTATTTATTATTCGGTATACCTTAGTTAAATTATGAATAAATTGTACTCAATTAAATATTTCAGAGATAAAGATTTCTTGAGCGTTTACGATGGGTGTATTACGTGCGACGTTACCCGGAAGCAAACTAACGAGCACAAACTTATAGCACATTGCATCAGCTCAACTTTTGGTATAATACCTATTTTGCATTGCTTAGAATAAAAATAATTAATTTTACTAAGAACACGCTTAATTCATATTACATCTCGATACAATTCATCTTTATTATTTCTTTTGTCTTTTCCCCTTATTAAGATTCAATATTATCTAAATGATGACTAAACTAAACCAATTAACATAATATTGTAATTAAAGATAGAAGTCCCGTAAACTGCTCCTGGCAGGACTATACATAAATGTGTCTATTTCACTGTTATTTATCTCTGAAAGATTTTTTTTCCTGTAGTCGAATTAATGATACGCCATACTAACTGTGCGAAATAATCCACAAAATCATGGCTATGCGCGTTTGTCTATTCGCATTTTATAAAGAAAACTATATTTTGTAATGTTTTATGTTTTTCAGTTGGGATCGATGATAATTCTGAATACGTATTCAAAGATTTAAATCCATGTATTGGTAATAATCATAAATTAATTTGCACGCCACGTGAAAGTGTTTTAAAACAAACCAACATAACAGACATATTTACTCGTAAAAGAAAAAGTCCCAAACAAGGTATTACTCAATCTAACGAAAAAAAGAAACGAGACACCGGCGTCATAAAACAATTTAAAAACTTACGGGAATCATTAGGAATAACATCAAAGAATATAAAAGAAAATTTACAAAAGACAGCCGAATCAACCAATTTAAACGAAATTAATGAAAAACCTCAAAGTATCTCTTCATTAGAAATTGATGAAAGTAATTTTAATGATACTATAGAAGCATCCGACACGGAGGAACAAATTGATGATGTTAAAATTATGAATATTTTAAATGACATAGAAAGTAATAAGGAAAATACTGATCCTTTAACACAAAAAACAGGAAATACATATAAAATAGATTCCAGTAAAGCAAATTTCAAAGCTATGTCAACAAATGATAGACATGTTTCTTTCAATATAAATAAATATAAACGAAAGAAGACAATAAATAATTTAAGCTTCATAGAATCTATAGAAAAGAAATCTTGCCAAAATGATCCACTGGTTACGGAATCTGATGCGGGATTCTCAAGAGCTATAAGAGATCATTTGAATCAGTTTATTGTCAATGTTCAACATAAAAACACAAATAAAATTGACATGCATCTTTTACTAGACAACGATTCTAATCATTCAGATGCAGCTGCTGAAAGCACTAATGTAAGGAATACAATTGATAAAAATATGCTCAAGAGAGATACTTCACCCCAAAATACAAATTTGATACAATCGACATCCGATTCCCAATTGGTTCATCAAAAAATCCCAATAAAATATAAAAACAATAATATAATGGATCAATTACAGAACGATAAGACGAAAGATCTTGCTATCCCAGAGCATCTTATCTCTTTACCAAATAATTATAACGACAATTCGAATAAAATTTTACCAAGTAACAATGATAATAGGATTGTCACACAAATCGATCCAAGTCTACCTGATAAACAAATAAATCCATTTTTACCTATTAAATATTGTAATATAAAAACAAGAAATCACCTGGAAAATATGCATGAGAAACCCGTTGAGTCAAACATAAATAATTTAATTGGTTACAATAATTTCTTGGTCCAACCTTCGATGCTAACCTCACAAAACCGAGACATTTCATTACACCATGATACTATACCCGCACAAAACGATTTTAATAATTATCAAATTTTGGAAATAGTAGGGCCGAAATCTATAGACACATTAAATAGGAACGATTTTAAATATACAAATACAGAAGACAACGTTGACGTAAACCAATATTTCTTCAGTGCAACGAAAATAAACTCGTGCACAAAGGTTTTACCAGAGCGACAAATACATATAGTTGGTCGACTCAAAGTAGACTTTAATGTTATGGAAATAAAAACTAAGGGTAATAACAGTAATACGGATTATTCAGAATACAATAATTCTGAAAATGATGAAATGAATAAAAATATTGAGGCTGATGAAATTGCTCGAACTAACTTAGATGGCATAACCGGTTGTTCTAATTCATTAAATTGCTCACCAATACGAACACTTAGTAATACTATTAATAATGATACAAAGGTTTGCTATAAACCTACGGAAAGAAATACAGAAATAGAAAATAAACACGTCTTAGCCAACAATCAGAATACAGAAGATGGTAAACAAAATAAAGTCGTTAATGTTAAAGACATTTTACAGAAATACCAAAGAAAATGTCACGTCAGGTATGTTGTATCCTATAACAGGTTTTATCTACTTGAGTTTATGCCTCAAAGACTAAATTTTAGATTTATCTACTCGGTTTTACTTATTTAGACGTTTCTTTTTTAGCCAATATACTCCGTCGCAGTCATTCAAAGAATCGACTACTGAATGTGGTATAAGGCAAAATTTGCTAAGAGAACCTGAAAAGGATAAAAAACCAAACAGACAATACAAAATAAGAGATTTCGATAAAATCAACATTCCGCTTCCCGAAGCATTAGCATCAGTTATAACTGAATCCAAAATTAATTCTCAAACATGTGTGAAGGATTTTAATAACGCTTCAAATAAAATAAACGAAGGAACAATACCATTAGATAAAGAAGAAAAGGAAAATGCAATATATTTAACTCCTGCAAAAGAATCTTTTAAATATACAATAGATGATGATTTATCTGGCTCTCCTCCTACAGATATTACACAAAATGATTATGACTTAAGTCAAACCATGCTTAACCCAAAAACATTATTGCGGGCCGTGAATGATGAGGTTATAGTTCCTCCACCACCTGAATTTACGGATACTTATTCCCCAACATATGACAAAAACGATTTTAGTAATAATTTTAACGAATACTATGATCCGGAGGACGCTATTTCTGAAGAAAAAATTGATTATGAACCAAATTCGGAAGGACTTAAAGAAGAGTGGACTTTATCAAGAGAAGACCATGTAAGCTATACTCCATACGAAAGTACAAGTCAAAATTTGTCGTTATCAGAAAGCTTAACTCAACGCACGATTAAGTTAAACAAATTCAAATTTAGAAAAAATAATAATTACAAGTTTAAAAAATAATTGCATATTGTAATGGTATGTTAAATAAATATACTAAAAAATAAAAAAGGTATTTTTATTTAATTTACAGTAGTTAAGACGTCCTTAATAAATAAAAATAATTAAGTAAAATATAACAGAATTTTAACCGTACGAAAACAGGTTTCGTAATTTGTTTCGTCACATGTGACAGATTTAATAATAAAGTTAGTTTATTAAGATGACATTTTCTGGTTATATGCTGGGGCACAAAATTCAAAGAAACACACAACCCTACACAACAACAACACTACTGTGGCACAACAACCCTATATTGGTCTTGACCTCAGATTGCGGGCTGTTGATCATTAAATTTTTTTATAGTCGATGACGATTTTTGTTTGGGACATACCGGTTTTATCGCGATGAATACGCTAATCGTAGAAGCAAGTGTTTATAAAGCACATAGAATAAAAATTAAACACAGCCACCCAGCATTGATAGCCTAGTGGGTAAGCGTCCAAATATCAATCCCGAGGACATGCATTTGAACCCAGTGCACCGTTACTTTTTGTCCTATATGTCAAATTGTGACTTCTTTATACGGATAGGAAAATAGCGTGAGGAAATATGTATGTCTGTGTTAGGCACTGATCACCCACTTTCGTATAAAGATATGTCATTATCGCTAAAACCGACTCACATATTTTATTATTTATTTGAAGTATTAATTATGCTGACTTAGCTACTCCTGCCTATATCAGTATATACAACCTTGATAGGTAACTTAAGGATATTAAGCGACTTGTATAATATACATGTCTTTGTATTGTGAGAACTCGGCGATACCATATTTTAAGTTTGTAGCTCCATCTCTTGTTCATTTAGGTAAGACAAAAGTCATTTGGCTAAACATTTTTATGACGTTACATTCGCTATGCAATCTTTTCACAGATGATTAACTTTATAATCTCACACTCGAATAAAGTGGTTAATTGGTTGATAGATGGTTACGCCTTGTAAAAGACAAGACTCAGTAATAATACATTTTTGTATGAAAGCCACTGATGGCGTTTGATACTTTAACTGCAGCAGTTGAAACTGACATAGTTTGCAGGTTTCAAATACTAGAAATACAATATTGAAAAGTATGTGCTAAAGGTATATAAAAAAAACAAGAGTATAAGCAACACCAATTTTATTGTACTTATTAGCTGTATTAATACTAGCAAAACAAAAACTATTTCAAAAGTATTTCAACAAGGTATTAACTAGGCAAGTGAAATGTAAAGAACTACAGTGACATTACATTCTAGAATTACAATAGATCTAAATACTAGTAAAACCAAGACTGACTAAACACAAAATATAACACGAACATTTGCCTCGATGGTCAGACATTATAGTTTTATTTAGTAGGTCTTGGTTGAACAAAACTCCATTCCTTTCAGCCTCTTCTAAGTTGAACAGTGCGATCGATTAAGGGCAGGTCGGAGGCACACCATTCAATTTAAAAGAAACTCGATGTGCAGAATCCTCGCGTTCGCTTCGTGCATAACGACGACTCTGTACTGATAGAAAATGTTACAACCTCTATACTTTGCATTAAAATAATGCCCATTTTCACAGGCAAGGCATCTCCTAGCTTCCCATCCGTTATTTCCAGTGATAATCACTCAAACGCTTAGTTCTCAGCACACATGCAAAGTTTACCATCATGTAAAAAATAAAGTACACGATTATTGGTAAATTCATAATAATTTCATTCGGCGACATCCTGCCTTCGCTCAGCCCATCTCGCAAGACCCAACCCTTGCTCGATTATGATTTCGAGTAAAACTATTCATTTAGTCATTTGATAACATCATCAAAATCGGGGAGTTCATACGAATAAATAAAAATCGATTAAAACGGGACATTTCGTCAATAAATATATAATCAAAAATAAAGCAAAGGTTCGGACAGTTTCTCAAGACTGTACCGGCTGAGAATATATTTCCGTTTAATGCTCAGCATGTTAGATAACTCTTAACACACCCGAAAACAAAGTAGCTTCAAATAAACAATATGAAAAATCTATAATTTCATTACAATATACATTACAGCTAATGATTTCGATAAGTAGATGATTTCAATTTAATATTAATGCAAAAACATGCTAAATAATGCTGAATATTAAACTGGAAAGTTATAATACACACTTTTTTTGTATTTTTTAGTTTTTTATTTTTTTTTTTTTTTTTTATTTTATAAGTAATTTCCACGCTGGGAAAATTACACTAATTCTATGCAAAGTATAGCTTGTATTATAATATGACCACTCCATACTTTGTTTCCTTATTCTTACGGGCTATGATGTTTACTCTCGCACATTCGCAGTCATAGCTTTTTGTGTAATTTTTGCAGGAAAACAAATATTCAAATAAAAAAATAAATATATGAATTGGCAGTTCATATTATGATTAGACATAATATTGAAGGTATTTTTCAACAGTGGTCACAATGACGCCGATAAAATTGGATATATTAAAAAAAACTTCATATTTGCTTATACAATCCAGTGACATAAATTTTTGTATTTTCTAATAATTTAATTCAAATTAAAAAAATAATATTGATAAATAAAGTTAGTTGTGATGATAGTGGTTTTTTTAACGTAACAGGAGGCTCATGTGATGTTAAGTGATGCCGCCGCCCATGGACACTCACATTGCCAGGAGGCTCGCAAGTGCGTTGCCGGCCTTTTAAGAAATGGTACGCTTCTTCACAAGCGGTGTAATATAATTCCCTATTGAATATTTAATTTCCCCATTTATATTAATGTAAAGAATTATTTGTGATTCTTTTTTTGTTTGTTTTAATTAGGCATGTTGTTAATCATTACGTATTAATATGTAAACTTGAATTAGTTATCGACGGAGAAATTACTCTGAAGCGTCAAAATGTTTGTCACATTTTGGACATAAATAGCCAATAAAAGATACTTGACGCCTCCTACTATTAGCAATTTCAGAAACGAAAACATCCTCAAATCAATCAAAATTAAATTCCCAATTTTGATATAAATAAATAATTGAACCTACCATAACCCAGTTTCATTAAACCTGATCGGACCGGCCCAAGTTCGCGATAAAATATTGACTTATTAATAATAAATATTCCCATTCTAAATAAAATTGCACAAATAGTCAAAAGCCCTCAATAGACACTTTCACCTTAAATCTTCAAAATTTATTATGCAAATCACTATTTTACCATAAGAAATAATATACCCACAGAAAAATATTTAATTCTTAAGAAAACTGTAAGCGCGGCATTTAATACTGCGAAGCAAGACAAATGACTAAATGTCACGCCAACGCTCTTTAATTGATTCCGTCAAGCGTTTAAGACGTTATGTGACTAGCCTTATTATGTCAATATTGAATGATTTAGGACACTGCAAATGTGCCAGTTATACAGCATAGCCCGAAGTGCTGAACCCGTAGAGTGGTTAAAGGGCTTACCGCGTCTCGCTCGTCCGATACCTATTTATTATATGTAAATGTGAAGTGGCCATTTTTACGTATAACAAATCTGTATGGGGCGAACGGTTCGAATTCACTTCTTGTTCATGATTTTGAGGTACTCGAGGGCATTGTGAGCTGCCGAAGACTGGGCATCTTTACTGGTGAGCCCCGACCCGTAGCAGACGGCCACAGGGAGAGTCGAGAGCTGGACGAGGCATTGGCAGCGACCCGCCATCGACTTCTCTTCTATGTCAACATAAGTCACTTCAAAGGACTGCTCCGTGGCGATCTCTTGAAGGAACTTCACAAAGTTGAAGTCTTTGTTGTTCAGCGGGGTTACCTGGAATTTTTAAATCACCCATACAAATCTGTTTTACATCAAATTTATATACACATTAAAACATTTAAGCAGTGTTTCTACGACGAAAAAACTCATGGACTTTGGCTCAGATTACTGGGTCTGTTTGGTAATCATTTGTCCATTGGTGCTCAGCCGGGATTCCAACCTACGACTGTAGGGATGAGAGTCGCACTCTCAGGCTAGGCCGACACTGCTCTGTAAGCGACAAGTACTATTTGTTACATGAACTACATAGGAAATGAAACAGACTATGTTCCTCATTCCAAAAAATAGTGTATGAAATGACATTCGCACAGCATGTTCTATGAAGTTAAACATTTGAAATGGAATAATTACTAATAAACCAGATCACATTTATTGAAAAAGCAGCAAATAAAAAAGGCAATCCTAAGCAAATAACATAAAAGAACACCATAAAAATATTCAATTCATACTCTTAAATTCTGTATTTCTCATCAATTTAACTAATTAAAATGTAGTTATATACTTCTTAAATTACTTTCCTAACTGATTAATAATTTAAAATCAGTTAAAACTTTTATTCAGTTATTATATAAATGTTGGTGTTTTGAAATCCACCTAATTAAATTTTGATTACCCATCTAAGGGTAAAGAAGAGTTAAAAGTTACAACAATTTTTATAATATTTTTGAATGCAAAGCACACTCGGGAAACTGTTCCACATTTTTAGGCGGCCTTAGTTTTAACGATGTTGCCGGCGGCTTGCCCCCCCCGCCCTTCCCCCCGCGATCTACCCCCCCGCCCGCACCCTCTCCGCTCTTCACCACCGTTTGCCCACCGGCTTTTAAGAAATTGTGATGTGTCAAGTTTTTTCTTATCGATGACACATTATGGAATCCGTTAAGAGGTGAAGGTGGAGAGAATAATAAAAAATAATAACAAGTCACTAGCAAGCACTTGGCAATCACTAATTGTGAACACTGCATGCCGCGACTGTATGTCGTGCCGCCGGAAAATTGTCAGGCTCGCAACTTAAAGCCTGTTCCACATTTTTTGTTAGCACATACCATAGAAATCATGCTCTCATGCAAAGTAATGAAATGCATACCTGCAACTTGGCCAGGTTGGGCCCGACAGACTGTTTCAGGTGTTTGTGAAACTGCGACACCTTGTGGCTGTGACTTGTGGTTAATGTGGAGATTTTACTATCTTTCAAGTCGGCATAACGTGATGCGATACCACCCTAGAAAACAACACCAATTATAAAAAAATTAAATTTTTGAAAGTACCCTCCTGTCGCAAGAGCCCATGAAAGATAGTAAAAGACCTGGCCAAGTGCCTTAGAGAGCCACTTGTGTCTTTGAATTTGTTTGTAGTGAATAAATTTTCTTTAGTTGTCTGAAGGTCCTTATTCGAAAATATATTTTAAGTTTATCAAAAATATACTTTATAGATGTTCTGAATCGAAATTTAAATAATTCTATGAAAAGTGCAAAGTTTTTGCATTTTTATGTCTGATGTTGTATCGCCTGAAAATATAAGTGCATGTAAAGCCTAATATGTGAAAGCAAGCAATTAGTGGTAATAGACATTTCTATATTTACCAAAACAATTGTTAAGTAACACATTTGTTAATTGTACATTATTTGTACATACAACATTGTATACAGTTGAATGTTTTTTAAATATATGTTATTCTCTAGCAAGCATGTTAAATGGCAAAGCCTAGAAAAAACATTTTACTTTTGGCATCTAAAAATAAACTATTCTAAAAAATATATATATTTATTTCAATTATGGAAAGTCTCAAATCAAATGTTTTTATTGACAACTAAAGGTGAAACTTGCATTCTACATTTGATTTTCTTGCAATAAAAATTAGGTTTATTATAAAATATGGCTTTGGGTTAGTACCATGTTTGCTATCATGGTTACCATTCTTTTTTGCATGGAAATAATACTGTAACAAACACGGTACAACTTTAGACATACATAGTTTTATATGACTAAATTATTAAATAAGCGTCCATGTGTGTTTTAATTTGAAGCCTATTAACATTTTATTCTTATTCGCGACGTATTTCCACTTTTGTTAAGTCGTATGAATTACCTCATCCTCGGGTTGGAAAGTCTCAGGTGGGTTATCTTGAAGTGCCTGCCACATCTTGTAAGCAGCTTGCCTTTTGGCCAATTTCTTAGATTTGCCTGTACCAACTTCACGACGTTTCAGTAAGGTGCATATAATCGTAAATTGGCGCTCATGTGGCAGACCTGAAATATTTTTGAATCATGTTAATTTTGTTAAATTAAAACTGAAGGTAAATTCAATATGTAAATCCTATACAAAAAATTAGATAAATACATCTAATTCTGGCAATTCTGACACTACCCTGGCTAAATTAGTAACTCACAGTACACTTAAACCCAGACCTTCTGGGTTTAAATCTCAGTCGTAATCAAAACAAAACATGAGTATGTGGTAGACAAATTCTGCCCCATACCCCACTGAGCGGGTATTTATACATATTAGGCCTACCTACACTTCAAGTAGTAGTTGATGAAAGGCAAATACCAACCTGCGTGTATCTAACATGCAGTGACAAATTAATACATATATTACAAACAAAAATTAAAAGAGTAAAAATGTCAAGATGAAGACTACTAACAAAACATACGTCTATTAACGTTGTCATCATTCTCTGCATGGTATGATGGCGGAGGCCAGAACCGAGACATGCACAACTCCTGAAGCCATCCCACAGGGTTACCCAATAATTTGTCTTCAAATGAAGACACAACTGCACCCCTAAAATCACACTTTGTATAATATTTTCTTTTTAAGACTGATACATTATCTGCAACTTCTTATTGTAAAAAATAATATTTAATTATATATATTGAATTAAAATTAGTGACATTTTTGTTCAGGTTAAAATATTTTGTAAGAATTTTAAATATTAATGATTAAGTATAGAAACTTATGAAATCTTATTTGTACTCACGTCTCTGGTATATTGCCATTAGTGTTCTGATCAGCAGGTGCTGCACCTGTCAATTTATCAAGAAGTGCCTTTGCTGCCGAGTGTTTTGCCTCCTTTTTCGATCTGCCTGTGCCCATTGCTGTGAAAAATATAATAATACTATTTACTTGAGATATAACAATATGGTCAAGTCTTGGTTTTGATTCATAATATTTTTTTTCAATGTAGAAGGCATTGAAACCTACGTACTTGCTGATAATAAGAGTATAGTAAGTAATTAAAGCAAGGCATTTGCCTAATTCAGTTACTTGCTTACAGAGTTTGCATTCATTGTTATTGATAAAAAAAATCATTTAAATATTAAATACAGATATTTTAACTTACCGACTAAATCGGCAACAGTGACCCGGTATCTGAAGGTTGGTTCATGAATCATGCCCTCAATCTGCACTAACTCATACTTTGGAACTGTTCCTCGGCGGGCAAGCAATTCTTGAAGCACTGACACTGGTGTCTTCATTGGCAAGGACTCCATCTCCTATAGAATTTCATAAAAAATATATTTAACTTGGTATAATAAGAATAATCAGAGCACATAATAAAAAGTAAGTCTTGTGAAAACGGTACATTTATTTGTATTTGTTCAATACAGGTATATATATAATAAGAATAATATGTTTATTTAAACAATATAACTACAATAATTTGTAGGTAAATTTTCCAAGCCATATTATAACAGTAAGTAACAGTAACAACAATTTTTTTATTATGAGTTAGGGATTATTGTTATTTTTAAATGCAAATATGAGAAAATCTTGTATTGTAAGTGTTGTGTATTTAAAACACCTAACTTCATTAATATGTAGACAGGACCTCTTCTCATTAAAAATTAATAAGGTAGGTTTTAATTGGCTTAATTTAGTTCGAAAATAGACTATAAAATGAATTGAAATAAATAGAATACGTACCCTCTTAGCTGCTTCATCTAATGGTAGCCTTTCCAAATTGTTTGGTGGCTTAGGTCTGTTTTGGTACCGACGCCTTGGACCATGAGGGGCATGCTCCCCATCAGGTCCACCTCCATGCACCGGCATACCATGGACTAAACCAGGCATACCACCATGTACCACCCCTGGATGAGGGTGAACAACACCTCCGTCCATCTGTTAAAATGGTTTACAATATATTATTCTCTCAAAATTGATATGAAACAAAATGAAACTCAATATATCCTTCAGAAAAACAAAGCTGCATTCAGAAATGCTAGTAAATGTAGTGACGGAAATTACATGTTTCTATAATTTTCAAGAATAAATATAACAAGATTACCCTCAAATACATAATTAAACTAGTTAGAAACAATTGGCAAACCTTCAAGTGTATTGAAATAGATTAAGTATTACAGCATATTGAAATATTCCTTAAACATTGCTTTCTATAATGCCCACAACCTATTTAAGGGGAAATAGCAAATAATCTGTTAGACAAAACCACATTTTTTGTAGGAACCTTTTCTGTCCTTTAATTAGATTTAAAGCTTTCTAGCATGAATTGGTTGTACATGTATATAAAAAAGATTCTCTTGGTTTTCCCGTGGTGCTATAAGTTGGCTGACTACCCTCACAATTTGAAACATTAGCTTAAGAAGCCACGATTATGTAAACATATCTGTATTTTTTTTTAATATTTCAAAGTTACGACTGTAAAGTAGGTCAGTTTGTTTTTCTTTATTGTTATTACAGATAAATTATGTTAACTTGTAAAAAAAATAATTTTGAACCTTAACTAAAATGTTATTGCATCCGTCTTTGAAGTCGTTCAGTTCGTTGTATTTAATTTTATCAGAATACTACACTGTGTGTACACCGGTAAACTACTTTATGTATTATCTCTTAACAAGAAAATATTGATTAATGATTAAAACTTTATTTTAGTCTAGACCTACCTGAATATAACTATTTATCATAATCACAACTATTCTGGATACTACACCAATTATATTTGAAATAAATTATCACTATTATAGCATGAAACTTCAACACGAATATTCACTAATTCTCACCATGTGATTCTACAATGACATGGCGGCCGGGTAACTTGCCAAGATGGCTTCGGTTTCAGCCGGTAAGAGGTTGAAATTAAGAATAAAATAGTAATCAGTGTTTTTACAAATTATTGCCGAGCCCGGGTTCACCACGAACCCTGTTTAAATTTTTAATAAACAAAAACTAACTCACCATCCTGTGTATTCTCTCCACAACTGCAGATAATTAAAACTCACAAAATTAATTAATTATTAGGAATTAGAATTATGTAATTTAACTATATTATAAGTATTTAATTCCCCAACAAGTAGACAGCAGTTGGAAATAGTTATTATTAAGATAAATTAATTCTTAAAAGATTTCGAGCAATACATCGAAATCAAAATGACTGGAGCGAAAAATTATAAATAATTTAAATATCCTCGTACACATTGACTTGTGCAAATTGTCATTTATAATTTGTTGAGCGTTGACATTCTAACCGTTGACATTGCCAATTGTATCTAAGTGTGCTGTGTGACCTATGTAGCCCACAGAGTGGCACGTCTTGAGTGATGATAGATAAGCCAAATTGCTTTTAAATCGATTCGTGGATACATAATACAATACACCAGTTTTTATGATCTAAGTCACCATCCTCTACGAGGGTATGCGAGAGCGAGAGTGAGGATGGTGCGCTCGTCGTCTGACCTCGCCTCGTCTCGCCCATTGCTCTGCTATAATGCTTTGTGTCAGTTTTCGGATGCGAGTCAGACGGCTGAAGGCGAGACGAAAAATCAACCATACTCTCGCGCTCGCACAATTTTATGTTAACAACTGCACAGCAAGGAGTATTTTTAACAAAACGGAGTGGAGTTACACTTTGTGTACCACTATTATAACATTATATCAAATTAAATAACTTGGAGACAGAAAGTGGTGTTGTGAAAAAATCGATTCCAAATAAGCAATTAAATGTTACTAAAACTAAAAAAAAAATATTAATGGCAACTTTTAGAGGACATCTGAGGAAGAATAAAACGTAAAATTAATGATATTTATACCGCATGATATGATATTTTTATTTATATTTGTGATATAAGCGCAAGACAGTATAATATTGATAGGCACATAAAGTAGGCAGTAGCTAATGCAGTAACTCCAATCACGTCCATCTTATAGTAGACAGTCCCTAGGAGGCGCCTCGCGAGTGTCTAGAGCCGTCATTAATATAATAATCATCTGCCTAGATTCTAGTCTAGGATAGCAAATCTGTGTGTAATTGCACTAAGTGCTAGTCAAGTCAACTATTCTGCAAACTGTGCCAAAATAATTAAGTACGTCAATGCCGAAGCAAATACCTGAAAGAACAAAAGAAGTTGTAGTGAATAAAGAGTTTTATTTGTATTAATAACATTGATAATTGTTAATAGTACTTACGTTAAACAAAAGTGTAGCGTCCAACGAAAAAATACCATACAAATTAATATCCATAGAATGATATTTCAATAATGTAGAAAGGTTTTGAACCTGCAATTTGAGTCACACAGTATGATTTATAGTATGACTTATACAAGAACACATTAAGTATTTTAAAAAGATGTATATCGCTTGGTTATGGGCTCCTGACATTGTCTGTATTTTAAAAAAGAACGGATCTCAAATGCGCCTTTTAACGTAAAACTTGTGTCAATTGTTATTGGTATGGTGAAGAACTAACCGACTAAGAATGTGGGATACATTCTTATAATATTGGTTGAATATACCTCTGCCTTCTTAGCTTAGTTGGTTAGGGTCACGATCATGGTTTTCTGTTCCTCTAACGTAAAGGAAGGATCCTCGACCAGTCTTACCACTGACTGGCCGGCCCTAATGGTTTGAGAAGTATATATTCGTAGCGGCCGTTTTTTGTAGGAATCGTCGAAAATGCATTCCGTTTTCAAGCATAGACAATGTGTGGGTAATACGTGTAGAAAAGTAAATAATTATTGTTGATGTAATTACCAAATAAGAAACCAAACAACCCCCTCCTCCTTATAGTGCTTACGTAATACTTGGACGGCCCCATACCTATATGTTATATTTTATGTCCTACTAAGCTTCTACGCATGGTACGTACCTCCAAAAACCATCGAATACTCTGTCCTTCTGTAGGCAGAGATAACAAAGCTTCAGCAAATCTTGATGCCTGGAATACAAATTGTTTTTATCATATAAATTATACCTATACCTATGAATTATCCGTTTCGGTGTCGGCGTTAGACTAAAACATTCTGTTAATTATTTCATTAATTTCAAATGCCAGTTGTGATTATAACCTATTTATTTCTCATTTTTATAAAAACTAAGCCAGTCTAATGAAACAATTATAAAACAGTTAATCGTAAGTTTAGCCATCTTTCATCTCTTGCTGTTGACGCTGAGATAGAAACAGACAGAACTGTGTGTCAGATATATGAGTTACGATGATTTATTTTAATGAATAAGGGCGTGAATGTATCCTTACCGCATTTTTCAACAAATTTCCCGAATAAGATAAGGAGTACACTTTGATTACTTGGCATAAAATCCATTCAGCGCAGGCATATATTAGATATGTTGGAATATCTTTTGAATAAAGTGTTCCGTATAAAATGAAATACGACTCGGCAATCAGAGAATGGAAAGATTGCAAAAGGGAATAAGTCAAAGGTGCCTTAAATGCCTGTTCGATAATCAATTTTATTTCATAAACCTCTATGTAAAGCGATTTTATTTCCACAAGCGACAGATGCCTCTGTTTTGGTCTCACTTCAATGATTGATGCCGTCTGAGTAGGCGATTTAAAATGTTCTGTTATTCTGCACAGAACTGCGGCCGACAATGTTACTAGTACGGTGTAAAACCCGTGGTAAACAAGTTGAATCGTTTGTGGCATGTTCAAAGACATTCCAAGCACAAGCTTCCACTGCATGTTTACTTGATTGCTGTTTAAATATATCAGGAATAACAATACTAACATTATACCCAGAAGTATTATATAGCATTGCACAGCTATATTTTTGAGTATCTTTTGGCCGTTGTCAGATGGTGGCATTTTCGTCCAGGCGCAAATTATTTTATTTAATATTTCTAAATATTTATAACGATTCAAAAAACCACTCACATACGCTGTAACGCATACAATTAGACAATTTAAGTTTTCAAATATGTAATTAATACGTTTTGGAAGATTGGCGAAGTTAGAACTCTCAGCTGATGCGTACAAAAGATAGATATGAAAAATCAAGAATAAAATATTAAGTGAAATAAATGTGACGCAACGGAAACTGTTTAAATATATAGATTTCGGAACAGATACATAAATTTGTTTTATCTTCGAAAAGTCGATACTAATTGGTATGAGTCCGAAAAAGGTTGCGGTCATGATAATTGGTTTTATAATATCTTCAATTTCTTCTCTGTCGTTGTTAGACTCTTGTTTATATTCACAAGATGGCAAAATATTTCTTATAGACAACATTTTTTGACGACTGTGGCGCTCAAACATTTTCAGATACTCGTAGTATGTAGCTCGTAGCTGTTTCATCAAATATTCACTAATGACTGTTAATAATAGTGAGTATATGGATATATATTCCCGACATCACATGTTACGTGTAAAAGTTGTTTTCTATTTGGTTAAAATAATAATTATTACTTCATTTCATTGATGACTTGCTTTCAACATAAACAGTCAAGCTAATAATAAAAATGTTACTGTATAGTGCATTGTATTTAAGTTAAAATATGTTTTCGATTTGGTTTTTAGGCTACCAATTTATCCATTAGGTGGAAAATCATATTGCAGACTAACTAATTGTCACTAACATCCTTGCACTTTAAAACTAATTTCTATAGTAATGAAATTTTATGAACGAAATAAATAAATTTATTGTAACTTTTCTTTTACTTAAACTACAAGTTATGACAACCCATAGGTTTAATTGTTTTTTCTAGTGAACTGCTACATACATGGACCCGCCATGTCTATCTGTTTTTCTTCTCTATGGCAGCGCCTAATATGCGTAGTGATGAGTTGAGTTTAGGCGCCATTTCTGTTTGTACTTTGTAGGAAAATGGCGGGCTGAGTCGCTTGCCTATTGCAGTAGCATTTTGCT